GGAAAGTGGTGCCTGAGGAATGGTTGCCTGCCTGCTTAGCTCAGGCTTCTCATGTACCAGCAGATGCTGCCATTCACATTGCTGTGGCATCCAAATCTGCTCTGAGAAAAGTTTTTATCTGTTGGTAAGGACACACATGGCTTGTCTACGGTTGAGGCTCTGCTAGTGCCACATGCAGACTAGCAATAGTGGAAAATTTTGAAGTGCAGACATCCTCAGACAGACACAGAAATAATCCACCAAATGTCAACAAACTTATGCAAAGCTTTCTCATTTCAGAAATTTCAGTAATTCCTGATGAAAGTATTTCCATTTCATACTTCATACTTCAGTGTGCACTCCACATGCCTCTGAAAGTCCAGGATGAAAGTTCTTGTCTTAATCCAAATGTCCTCTAATAGCAATGGAATTTTGAAACTGCCTGTAAAATGTCAGAGACCTAGGGGCTTTTTTTCCCCTTCTGTTGTGTCATCAGCAGAAATGTGGATGACACAAATTCAAACTGCATAGGTGGAACTAATGCCCCTCTCCTAGCTGAATTTTAAACAACAGAGATATGTATCTTGTTTAACATGACTTATGAAGGCTTCTGAGGAAGCTGGGACCACTTCAAAACACTTTGACTAAGAAGAAATAAACTAAACCACTGCAAAAAATAGGAAAAAGTATTAGATTTAAATTAATGAAGAATTTTTATATATTCTTAATGCTGTGTTTATTTGATAAAAAGAAAAAATAATTAGAAAATCTATTATTTCATAATGTAATTGCATTTGTCTGTACAAATATATTAATTCCTGTTCCAATTCTAAACACAGCGCTGTTTGTATTTGTAGGTGGCAGGAAAATATATGTTACTGTTTGTGATTGAAGCTACCAGTCAAGGACATATTTTTGGTACTTAAAATAAGTACAGTAATAAAACTTTATCTAGCCCATAACTTTTTTTTTTTAAGAGTGGAAAGTAAGGTACACTAGAGATCACATCTCGTTATGATGAACTGGAATAAACTCCTATTTGCATGTTTATTTTTCTTTTTACTAAATGATTGTCCAAGTGGTTTATTCTTCTTCATTCTGACTGATGTTACATGAACTCTTCCATGCATTATTGCAAGTCAGTTCAAGTATTTTTGTCCAAACTGTTTCATATTACACAATTCAACACTTAAAAGAAGTGGAATCAAACTTATCTATTGCTTCTGTAGTATTAAACTTGATGCTAGCCAGCATGGTCCCAAATCTGAAAACACTTGCCTTAACGTAAGTTACTTGCAAATAGTCACAAATACCTCAGTGGGTCCACTGTCATACTTAAATATGTGTGGTTCCACGTTCAGGAACCAGGTTAGTCTTCACCACTTCTGTGCCTGTGCATCCTGAAGGTATCTATTGGTTGCAAAAGGCTCCTGCAGAAGAAGAGATTAAATCCACAGGCTGGGCAACTGCTGGCAAGATGGATAGATACAATCAAGTTGCCAGAGGTACCTCCTTTGTGTCAGATTGCTACAGTCAGGAAGTCTTGACAACCTGTGCCTTCAAAGGCAACAGTTCAAGGCTGAGATCAGTTCAAGGCTAATAGCAGTTTCCTCAGTCTGACATAAACAGGTATTAGGGATTATTTCCCTGATAGAAACAAGAGCTGACCTCGATTCAAATGCAAAGGTTATTTATGAGTAAATGTTACATGTATTACTAAAGTTACAGGATGCTTTTAAAATGTGAATTAATATTGCATGGTAATGGTTCTAAATATGTGTGTAGTGAACAACAGGTAGTCCATAAGATCTGAGACCTGCTGAGCTTGATGGCAAGTAAACAAGTGGCAAGTGACAAGTAAACTGCTGGACAGAAATAGTCCAGGCTGACAAAGGGACAAATATGACATTGCTAGAAGCAAGTCACCTGCTCAGTTTTATCTTTTTACCTATAAGTCAGCACTAACTGGGTGTTACTGCCTAGTATGGAAATGCCATGCTTTCATTATAAACACATACACATACATATATATATATATATATTTCACATATAAAATACACACACAGATACATGAAAAAAACATTCTAAATGAGGATTCTTTGGCCTTCTAGAATTTGCAGAGACCTCTCATTCCCTTCTTCCAAAATGTACACCTCTTAGTTAATTGGTTTCATTAATTTTACCCGAGCAAAGCTTTTTTTTTTTCCACTTCAGCTTGGGTGATTTTTTTGAACTGAGCTTCTAGGTACGCTCTGTTCCAGCCATGAATAAACCAGCAATTGTTAAATGCCACCCCTTCCATGAGCTGCTGTTGCATGGATTATTCACCACATGGATTTGGTAGATGAAGTCCAGTATGATGACAGAGTTCCTGGGACAGCAGAAGACAAGACATTGCTGAGTTAATTTCTACTGCACTCCCCTCTAAAGAGTGGTGAGCTCCTTTTTGAGATGATGGTGGGACAGACTCCAGCTCTTCTCCTGTGAACATATTCCAAATGGCAAGAGACAATGTTTCCAACCCCTTATTGCAAGAGCTTCTTACACCAAGGTTTCATTCTGAAATCTTTCATGTTATCTCAGTGACTTCTTCTTGTGGTGTTGGGACTTTATATTCTGTGGTGTCCTATACTATCTTAACTTTTTTTTCCGTTTTGACCAAGCTGGTTATTTTAATGTTAATAAGGCGATGACACCCCGGAGCTGTGCCTCTTTTCTCTACGTTACTTAATTTTCATGCAACAAATTGTATATATTAAAAATAAGGAAGAAATCCACTTTTAAATATTGCCTTAGGATGTTCACCTAAAACAATTTAGGTTTAGGTTTCATTCCAAAAAAGACAGGATGGTAATGATTTTAAAATAATTGCCAGATCTGAGGAAGTTAGCGATCATTTGATTTTACACTGCCCAATAGCAACTGAATATTTCAGTGCAGACATGCTACATTTTAATGTAGACATTAAATAGACATGTTCTCTGTCCTAAGGTCATAAAGCAGAGAAGGAAAAGATAACTATGAAAGAGATTTCAAAATTTCAGAGTGACATTTAGGTGAGCAGCTTTTGTGCACGTTGAATATTTTTGTACCTCTGGAAATCGTGCCTTTCATTAAACAATTGTGGGTTTTTTTCAGATATCTTAATAATGGTGTGAATTAATTTTATTTGGGGTTTTCTTCCTGAAAAATTAGCAAGTTTGGTTCTGATATACTTAATAATATGCTCTGGGGAGGAAAATTAAGGACACAAGAGTATGTGGAAATAGGGTCAAGCAGCATGAAAATTCTTTTGGACAACAGCATTCCACTGGAACTAGCTCAAGAGTCAGAACAGGAGAGACAACCTGATGAAACTTGGCCTCAATAAGCAAAGTTCAAACATAATGAGAATCAGCAAACAGAAGCTTCAAAATATTTACACATATCCAGACAGAGAAGGAAAGTTCACATCCATAATGAATGGTCATTAGGAGGAAAAAAAATCAAAGCAAAATGAAAGCAGATTTTTAGACAAAGCTGAATTTAAACCAGGGCTGATTACAGCTGCTTTAATGTCTGAATCCAAAAATTGGCTCAACTCTAGTTAAACCATAATCTGACAGATAGCCTCTTTTTATTACAATTCTCAGCTGAATCATTTAGTTTGTGGAAGAAGCGTGGTTCTGGCATCATAACTTAAATTATGACAACTATGAGAGTACTCCTATGATGCAAAAGGGTTATATCAGGCTCATTTACTAATCCCCATAGTTTTCCCAAGATATTTTTTGTCCAAGAAACCCAATGCTACAGAGTTTACCAGCCTGTAAGACTTACAGTAGTTACCTTCTCAAAAAAACCCTGCAGTGTATGTAACCTTCTTAAATTCTCTGGTTTTTTTTTTCATTTTACAAATGGAGACCCTGAGAAGGGTTTTGCCACAGACAATATTATAAAGTGTTCAAACCTGTGAGTGACATAAATAAGTAGTTTCCAAACAGAGGTGCACATACAAGAAGCTGTATATAGATAACTTCTGGGTGGTAGGTGATGTAAAGTTGCCTCTGCTAATGAAATGGAGTTTTTAAGATGATGGTGTCCAAAGTGGGGTACACACAAGACAGACCACTGGGATGAAGGAAGACTTTATGTGCACCTCATTGGTAAATTATTGTTTAAAAGTAATTTAATCTAATTTTCAACTCATCCTTTTTAAAATTTCTATTTTGTGCATGTTTTACAATAGATATAAATTACTACAGTAGTACATTTATATAATTCATAAATAAATAATTGATTGTACATAGAGTGGGGGTATATTTTTATGCTGATAGGGGTATACCACCCAAGAAGTTTGAAGACCAGCATTTAAGGATCAGCCCCTGATTGACCAAAGTGGGACTCCCATTATTTGACAATTCTTCTCTAAAAGGTTAAAAAATGCCTCTTGGGATTTCTTGCAAAAGCCAGTGAAACAAATGGAAGACTTTTGTAAAAACTTCCAGTGGATTTGGATCAGGCCTGTCAGAATTACAGCAGCAGAGGTAAGAGGAGGTATCTGTCACTCCTGAATCCTGTTCCTACAGCACTGCTGACATTGCTCTCCACAAAGTATTGTATAGATGCAGAAGAAAGAAAAAGTGCTTATGTGTAATTCTGCATAGCAAAGGAGTAGTTTTATGGTGAATAAAGTACTGATATGGGGCAAGATAAACACTTCTTGGATCACAGTAAAGGTTACAGTTAGCAAAACAAATTTAGTTACTAGGTCTTTACTTTTTCTGTCGTTACACAACATAATCATAACACACAGAATACTTGACACTGCTGTTATAAAATAACTGAATGTACAGCCCACTAGTTTTGACAAACAATTGCATTCTATCATCCTAAAAAAGGAAGCCATTTTATTCTTTAGCCCTTGCCTTGTGCACTCAGGGCACAGCATTGCACAGGCAGCACTTTGTGGTGTGAGGCATAGCCCTCTCCTGCCATGGACTGCCTTTGTTATTGGTGGCTGTGTCTGGGTGGCCACTGACCAGCATCAGCTTCTCACTGACCTCGGGCCCACGGCCTGGACAGGAGATGTGCTCATCCTTGATGCCAATCTTGCTGTCCCTCAGGCAGCTCAAAGGCATGTTCTTTTCCTGGATCTGAATGATAAAGTAGGGTACCTGAAATACAGCTATTGCTGCTGCTGCACTCTAGAAATGCAGAAATATAATGCAACACGTTTATGCACCAGAAATTATTCTATCACTAGAAAAAAAATGTAGGTGCATTTATTTAAACATCTAAAATCAATCATCAGCTACCAGGAGTAGATTATGTCTTGCTTATCTTCCTCAGTTTCAGTAGTGACTTCACTGGAGATCTGTCTCTAACATGCCTAAGTGGAATGGGAGGATCAGAATGAAGAAGTCTACAGCATCAGCATATTTTTCTTACAGTGAACCACCCTCCACTAATTGAAACTTCTTCCCAGTTCTCTCAGCTGGCTTTTGGGCTTCATATGGATCTACTGCAGCCATTGCACCATACGAAGAATGATGACTGACACTTCCTGTACATTTTTAATTTAATAAAACATATGGTTATTAATGATACTTAATCATTGAAATTACATTAGCTCTAGAAAAATGCACACATATAAAATCAGGGCAACATTTAACACTGACACACTACCAGTCCATTTTTGTTAGTATATCAATAGGACATTGACTGATGGGTCTGCACTGGCCTGTTCTCCAGGCACTGTCACACTTGTGCCTTGTGCCGTGGCTGCTGCTGTAATTTTGATCTATACACAAGGGAGGGACTCAAATGATTTCAGAGGGTGCAGAGGGGCTCATTCATTAGTCTGGCCTCATAAAAACTTACTCTACTGCAAACACGGAACTGGCTACACCTATTTTAATGCAATTAAAAGACTGCATAAATCAATGTCACAACAAGTATTTCCCTTTAGACACCCACTAATGATCTTAGCTCTTAGGAGAGAGCTTTGCTTTCCTTCCCTGAGTGTCAGGTCACTACATGTGGTTGGCCTTCCAGAGGCAGCAGAAGTCAGATCCTGGATAGCCAAGTGCCTACAGGTACTCTCTGGCATCACCAAGCCACTGTAGCCTTGGAAGCTGTTCAACAGACTTGCTTCTCTCCACGCTCCTGGCAGAGCAGGTGTGCTGGGGTTTTGTCTTGGGGGCTTAATTTTTTCCATAGTTAGCTGATATGGTTCGGTGTTTTGGGATTGTGCTGGAAACAGTGTTGGTAACACAGGGGTGTTTTTGTTATTGCTGACAGGGCTTACACAGAGCCAGGGCCTTTCCTACCTCTCACCCTGCCCTGGCAGGGAGGGGGCTGGGGGTGCACACGGAGCTGGGAGGGGACACAGCTGGGACAGGTGATTCCAAGTGACCCAAGGGATATCCCATAACATATGGAGTCATGCTCAGCATGTAAAATAAGAAGAAAGAATCAGAGGGGGATGTTCAGAGTAATGGAGTTTGTCTTCCCAAGTCTCCATTACATGTGATGGAGCCTGGATTTCCTTGGCATGGCAAACACTTGCCTGTCCTTGGGAAGTGGTGAATGAATTCCATGTTTGGCTTTGCTTGCACCTGTGGCTTTTGCTTTACCTATTAAACTGCTTTTATCTCAACCCATGAATTTTCTCACTCTTACCCTTCTAATTCTCTTCCCCATCACACCAGGAAGGAGGGAGAGAGTGGGGCTGAGTTTCTTGTTACACACGCCTGCAAGCACTGTTGACAATTTCTGTACCTTACTGCTGTCCTGCCTTAAAGATCACTGCTATTGTTAGTGCAGCAAAAAGGCCTTGCACTGCCTCCAAGGCCTTTACAATGACAATGCATGTCCCATTATGCACTTTCTATAAAAGAGGAGTTACAAAATGTTCAGGTGGCTTATGCAGGAAAATCAAAATGGTAATTCTACATTAAGTGAGCATATTTGACTGAATAATGATTCCTCCCAACCATAATTATGATACTTGGATTCTGTACTTTCAAATTTATGAGCTGTTTGGTTTGGTCTCTGACTGATGACTAATGAAATAAACTGCATTTCTCCTCCAAAATCTGAAGAAAAATGGGGTATATTTCAAGCCTATTTTATGAGTGAGCCCATTGTGGAACAGATAAAAAGGTGGTGGCTCCCAGGAAACTTTTCATTGTATGCCTAACCAGGTGATTCTCTGGAGACATGCATATGATATTAAAAATAGAAACTCCAAGGAAACAGAGACTGGCAGAATCACACCATGGAGAAAAGAGCTAGGTTAGACACATACATCCCCATCCACAACCAAGAGCCCTCCACAAACAAAGCCCCACAGGCTGCACATGAGGCAGGGCAAGGCTGCTGAGGCTTTGCAAGGAGGTCTGTCACACAGACAGGTGGATCCCAAAGCATAGATCACTCCAGCTTCATCCCTTCCCTCTCCACCAACAGCACCTCAATCTGCTGTTCCCAGAGGTGAACAAGGGGAAAGGCACAAAGCCCACTGGACACCTTCCTGAGGTTTATGTTTATCTGAACATGGTTTCTATCACTGCTTAATAGTCTGGAGCATGTCAACAGGAGATAAAGAGGAAAGATGACTGAGGAATTAAATTATCTGCAGTGCTGAGCAAGCCTTTTTCAGCCCACTGTGGTTTAAATTTGTCACCTGACATGGTAAGATAGAAGAGGTTATGTTACACTTCAGCTCAAGATGCACCTGCCTAGGAAGGCCTAAAATCCCTCATTGAAGGAGACAGTGCATGACCCAGCGCTGAGGGTAATACTGAAGTGTTCTCCTGGAGCCAGGATTTTGGGCCCTCATTATCATCACTCTCTGGATGTTGTTGTAAACACAGCACCCTAACTGATAAACAGAATCAGTCCATTTCAGACTCCAAAGACAAGCAGCTGGAATTTGAGATGGATATCCTTTGATAGGCAAAGAGGGCAATTTTTATTTTTTCTTGTGCGTGTTAGGTGCCAGCAGAACTTTAATCAATCTTCATGTGATGCCAATAGTTCACAGATAGAGCTGCAGTGCTTGAAGGAAATAGGTTAACTTTTCCCACTGTGAGCTGCTAGTTCTGAGGAGTGTTTGATGCAAATCTGAAGAAACTGCACACTCTGAATTTGAAAGGACCATTAACCAGGAAAAATTAACAAAATACTTAGAAATAACTGAGCTCGGTGGGCCAGTTTTCCAGCTATGACCTTTAATTCTCCATAAAGAGAAGGTTATTTAAAAAAAAAAAAATCAAACATGCTCACCAATCTCACCAATTCAATCTGGTTAATTAAACAGAATGGTGAATGTTACCACATGTGTGGAAGGAATCCAAAAACAGTTTGGGTAGAAGAAAAAAATCACAGTTATAACCCAGTCTTATTTAAAGAAAAAAAAATTAAGCATATGGTATAATATTTCATGAACCTGTGAAAATACTGTAAATATATAATTGCACTAAACATATATAAATATTGCACTAAACATTATAAATAAAAATAAACTGTGAATAATTTTTCCCTAAAAAATGGTATCAGAATACTCAGCATATGCATATATATATTTAGGGAGAGAGTGTAAGCACACTAGCCAAGTGTTGTAACTTGTAAGCCATATTAAGTTACTCATACGAGACTCACACTGATTAGTGCAGATATCCAGGTACATCTAACTGCCCTGGTCTAGTAAGGATGTTGTCTGACTGTGCAGGCCAAGAGCAAATGAAACCATAGGCAGTGCCAAGTCAAAATGCCAGCACTGGATTGTCTTGGTAGCTTACTGTCTCTAGAGGTGAAATTTGGAAATGAAACGTTCAAAAAAATGAAGCTTTGGTACAGGCAAACCATGGAGTTTATGTTGAAAATAAGTGGCTTCCAGCTTGTTGATCTATTGATTAATTATAGGCTCAGGTATAAAATTGAGTTCCCCTTTCCCTTAATGTCTTAAGAAAGACAACAGGAATACAGTATAAAAGCAATTGAAATTTGCCTATTTCCAGTCATTGCCCTTCAATCTGACAGAGTGAAAAGACAGGGTCTGGAGGTCCTATCACAATCTGAAATCTCTAAGTTATTACATCAGTTAGCTGTGTTCTGTAGTAGTCCACCATAGCTAGTGTTCATAAATAGGAAGTTGTGCTTGTAGAAGTTAATTTCTATTAAGATTATTTAAGAGATCTCGTGATAACTTTCATAACTCACACAGGTCATGATCTACTGATGAACTCTGAAAAATAAGTCCTGCTTCTGACTGTACCCTCACAGTGCCACGGCATCCTGCTGCTAATACTTGCAGTGCTAAATCTAAGTTTAGGCTTGAAGAATTAGATCATACTTCCTTTTCCCTTTCATCATACTAGAAGGTGTGTCCTCCTTACCTGAGTACTTGGCTAAATATCTCCTGGCTGTCCTCTTTCATCAGCAGGAAATTATGAACTCCTCGTCCAATATGCAATTATTTAAAAATTGTATTATCATAGCATCTAATGGTCCCTTGCACTTGGCACAGGACAAACACATTGCAGAGGCAAAATACATTGCCCAGATAATTTTCAATTCAATTATGAATAAAGATACAATAGAGGGATACATCATGGAAAGCACAAACAAATGAGATTGGTTAATGTAATATAGAAGATTGAAAAATGTTGCTTTGATGTGGCTCTTCTTCCACATTTCAGTCTTCCAAGAAATGTTAAAAATAGCTAAAATCCCTTAATTTCTTCCCTAATAATGCTTTCCCAGGTGACCATATGCCACAGAGATGCTGCGTGATCACAAATGGGAAGAATACCAAAGATCGTAAGGGGAATGAGTCATGAAGCAGCAAGACATGTTCTAAAAATATTTACAAATCCTTAGTTAGAAGAAGAAGAAGAAAAAAAAGCTGCTGCAAATAGCACTTCTTGGACAACAGGATTCTTTGTATGGACAAACAGCACATGTAACGTAACAAATGGCCAGCTTTTCATGCGAGACCAATTTTCAAAGAGATTATGAATGTCCCTCTCCTGAATTTCTTCTTCAATTTTTGCTTAAACTATCCTGAATCTTACATATGGAGAAGGAATAAGCTTAATCGGGGCAACTGTAAGCCTTTCATCAATTCAATTATCCAGTAAAGGGCTCACTCGTTGAACTCAGCCATAAAATGTTAGAGTCGCAGTGCTGCTCCTGTCTA